TATATATATATATAAGCGGGAAGAGTTTTCTCTCACACACACTGTCAAGATGTCATAAGAGTTCAAAAATAAGACCATTGAGCTAAACCTTATTGGCAATAAATAATTGCAATTTATCATAAAACCAATCTTGTTAAAATATATAACAAATTCTTTATGCTCCAAATGTGAACTATAAGAATGGATGTCACAAGTGTGTCAAAGTATGAAAGCTTAACAACTTACATAATCAATGAATAATTTGAAATCCATCACATTTCAATACTTTGAAATTATAATCAACTATGTTAACTCGTCTTTTAATACGCATACTTTTGTTATACATTTTTGTTGTTTGAGCCAATTTGGTTTAGTCGGTGGAAAATGACATTGACTTGCAAATTAGTAGTTTTAAGTTCGAACCTTATGACACCTTAGTAGTTTGTGTGTGAGAAACCTCTCTCATCTTGTAATTTAGACTATCACTTATATTAAAATAAAGAACACTTTTATTGTTCGAAATGTTGAATCACTCGACCTTTTAGTGTTTTCTTAATCAATAAAATCATTATCTCATTATCATTTAAATTGAGATTTTTTTTTCTTTTAAGGGAGAGGGTAGACAATATTAAGACTCTTACAATGACATGAGTGAAGGATTACTCTAAAATCCTTTCTTGTTAGATATCCACAATCTTATAATTAAGCTAAACAAATAGTCTAATGAGTTGGGAGCATGAATTAGTCAAATGAGAATTCCATTTAAAGATGTTGGTGGAAAAAAAATCCACTTATTTTTCAGAGTTGAGATCTAAAATTGAAAAGTGATGTTTAAAAAGATGGTTAAAAAATCGACCTTGAAAAATGAGAACGAACGGCATGTCGTTTGTGTTCGAAAGCTTATAACGATCAACAGGTCGCTCAACACAACCAGTCAAGGAGGCAATGGAAAAGGGTTTAGGCAAGCAGGGAGACGAGCCATGGAGGGTCCTCGAGTTCTACAGCGGTATTGGTGGCATGGTAATTAGTAAAACCACATACCCCAAACCCATTTTGCTTCCACTTTTGAAGTCTTTAACGATTTGCTCAAGTTTGTATCTTTGTGATTGTTAGAGGTACTCGCTGATGAAGGCTGGAGTGAATGCCAAAGTTGTGGAAGCATTCGACATCAACGACACAGCTAACGATGTTTACCAGCACAATTTCGGCCACCGTCCCTATCAGGTTCTTTCCTCTTTTGCAGTTCAATTTTTGAGTCCAAATTGAAGCTGTTTTATTATACAGTATATAGATGTAAGTAAAAGTTTGTGTTGTTTGTTTGACCACTGAAGGATCAAAAGTTTGTATATTTATGGTTACCCAATTTATATTTCTTGCATTTATTCTCTTAGATGCTCAAAGTTTGGAGTTTTTGAGGTTTTTGGTCTTTGTCTTCCAACTTGCTCTATATTGGGTCCGTTTGGATTTAAACCATTTGTTCAAAAATGTCCTGACTAGTGACTACCTGTAGTCATGCGTCCAATATTGGGGTTCAAAGCTGCTTTTGCCTTCCCATTATTGATGTTTGGATTTTCAGCTTCTCAGACAGGGTATTTAGTAGAACTACCTGAATTCACCTTGTACCAAAAAAATTAATTAATTAATATTTGTGTCTGCTGCCGATCTCGACAGGTATGGAGCGGATGCATGGCTTCTTTCTCCTCCTTGTCAACCTTACACACGACAAGGTTAGTTTATCATCATTGTCCCATTTACTGATATATGACATTAATTTGCATAGATTTTCACTAGCTGCTTATGGATAGGTCTCCAAAAGCAATCTGGTGATGCTCGGGCTTTTTCATTTCTCAACATTCTTGAGTTGATACCACACACTTCGCAACCTCCAATAATGTTATTTGTGGAAAATGTTGTTGGATTTGAGGTCCATTCCTGGAAGTTTAAGCTTAATTATAGGTAAAACTATTGATTTGTTTTTATTGATTTCCTTTTTTTTTCCTGGTTGCAGACATCTGATACGCATACGAAAATGATAGAGATATTGGGAAGAACTAATTTTATTACGCAGGAGTTCATATTAAGTCCATTACAGTTTGGTGTGCCATATTCCAGGCCACGCTATTTTTGCCTGGTAGTCTCCTCTCTCTCTGGTTCCTAGTCATTCAGAAAATCTGGGATCTCTTGTGCTCTTCTTCTTTCCAAGAGTTTTAATCTATAAATATATATTCATTTATCCTGCAGGCAAAGAGGAAACCTTCAACCTTTCAGAGTCAATTTTTCAATAATCAGCTTCTTCAGTCCCCAGGGCCATTATTTAGGCATACAAATACTGAGGAGACAGTGTTCTGTGAACTTGATGAACCACAAGAGAACTGGGATAGGTTGCTTGAATCTTGTGAGCCTATAGAAAGCTTCCTTGAATTCAAGAATTGCAGTGACCAATCAGAGTCCAATTTTGTGGACACCCCTACTGTTTCTACAGATAGTGATGAAGTTTTGGATGAAGGGAATGAATATTGTAGCGGTGGCCTAGATCAGTACTCTGTTCCATTGAGCTTGATAGAGAGGTGGGGAAGTGCCATGGGTATCCTTTTTTCTTTTATTACTGTCCATTATTGATTGTAAATATAAATTCTTAACAGAAATATCCTAGGTCTGGAATCCACGGAAACTCCCTAAGAGTGGAAACGCCGAAATGTTATTGAAAATGGATGCTTACGCAATGGGGAAAATGTCCTATCCTCCTACAGTACAAAAGTTAGACAGAAAATAAGTCCTGTTCTGCTATAATTTAAGGAAGAAAAAAGAAGGATCCTTGTCTTACACCATCATTTATGCTATTTTTATCAAATAACTCTCTCTCTCTCTCTCTCTCTCACAAAGGATCCTAAACACAACTCAGATATTGTCTATCCTGATTCAAAGCGATGCTGTTGTTTTACAAAAAGTTATTATCGATATGTGAAGGGTACAGGCTCCCTTTTAGCAACTCTGCAGGTAAAGTATCAATTTAGACATGAAAAAAGTTACATTCACTACCTGAAATTGGGATTTTGAGTCAAATATACAAAGATGACACATTTGATTAGTATAAATCACATGTTAGATTGTTGATACTTAAGTACTCAGGTGCACTTATTAGATTGGACCACCATCTCAAGTTCTTGTGCTCCACAGTTCAATTTCTGGTCATACCATGAATCAATATCCATTGAATTTTTTGCTGAATGACATTTACAAAATTGTGATTTATATGCAGCCAAATAACGAGGATAAAGCATCTTCACTGAAGGAGCAGTGCCTTAGATACTTTACTCCTAGGGAGGTATGCTGATTTCTTTTACGTAGCTTCTTTAGTTTTCCCCTCTATTCTTGGTTTCATGTTTTTAATCTGTTAATTTATAATTTTTCTTTAACCGACTTAGGTTGCTAATTTGCATTCTATCCCAGAAGATTTTCAGTTTCCACAGCAAATAAGCCTTCGGCAACGGTATGTCATTATTTTATCTAAAGCTTCAGCTTCATGTGTATTAGTAGAAAATGAACATTACTGTGCCTTTTATTTGATGAAATTTATTCGGCATGTCAATTGGCATACTACAGTTAAGCATAACAGTGGTTGTTAAGCACGGCTTATGTTTGTACTTTGTTGTCCGTTTCTTTTATGTTGCAGTTATGCATTGCTGGGGAACAGTTTGAGCATAGCAGTGGTTGCTCCTTTACTGCAATATTTATTTTCCGAATCATCATGATTATTCAAAGACACTCCAATGTAACAGATGCAGATCTCACCTACAGCGTTACGTTCAGATCACTATTTAGATCAACCAAGAAGCTTGAACTTCTCTCGCCAGAATTTGATATCTCTGCTGCTTGTAACCTGTAACTTGATATGCTTTCATTTTAAAAATGTAACCAAAAGGAGATTATAACATGTAACCTGATATGCTTACATTGTTCAGTATGATTGATATTCGTTTTTTTGGGCACAAATGCCCACCCCCTATGTGGAAGTTATTCTATGAAAAGATAAAGAATGATAGAGAGAAAGTGGAGTCGTCTAAAAGTGCTACCATAACCATTGATTTTAAACAAATTATCAAAATTAATTTATAGCAGATGTGCAGTTGCTTTTTCACCTAAAATCATTGACAACAAGACCTTTCACTTGAACCATGTGTTTTATGAATCTAATTACGCAGCATATGTGCTGGCTGGAATGGGTTATAATGTTGTCAATGTCATCTTGGACTTCTAATTTTTCCTTTTTCAATTGTTTTCATCATCTGTATGACTAAATCTGGATGTCCTAGTTGTCGTTTTTAGTTATAGAGAAAGAAAATAAAAGTAATGCTACCAACAGTCTCTCAAGCGCGTGAGAATTCTATAATGTTTTGTTTATTGCACCAAACACTCGAACATGGACAACTTAAATTTTTTTTTAAACCTTTTTTTCGTGCTAATTACACTAGCACTCTCTAATTGATAACTGAAACATAAAACTCTTTTTACAACTTTAAATTTTAATTATGAAAAGCATGCATAACCTTCATTTCAAAAAACATGCATGATCTTCATTTCAAACAAATTTATACTTTCATTTTTAAAGTCAAATTTATAGTTTTTTTTATCCTTTATTTTAATTTTTAGAATAGATGCTTTATTAAAACCTTGTTGGATACGGTCTCTTTTTCCTTTTCCTAATGCAATGCTACTTTATAATTTGTATCACAAACTTGTCCACCAAGTTCTTTGAAATTATTATTATACAAAAAGGAAAACCTTTGGACGATTTCTTTTTTACATTTAAAGTTGACAGTTTTTTTTTTGGTCGAAGTAAAGTTAACATTTTAAGAAGAAAAATTAAATCTGATAGGAAATAAATAATAAATAAAATAATAAATCTCCTAAAGTTAGGTGTTAACTCAAGGGTATGCGCATTACGCACTCTGCGTTCTGGTTGAGGTAAACTTCAAACCGACGCCAAAAAGAAAAACAAATACCAAAATATAAATTCATAAACAATTTATATTTTTTTTCATTCTCACAAACCGGCAAAGGGCGAACCCTAACTTTCCAATTTTCCTCCCAATTCAAAGCTCGCAATTCTCAAGCATACAGACTCGAAACCTCTAATTGAAGCAGAAACGCAAAGAATCGAGGACAAATTTCTTCAAACAGTGATCGAATTCTGCAAAATCTCAATCAAGGTTAGTCAAATCTGTTCCAATTTTTGATTTCTAGGGTTTCGAATTTACGTTCTCAATGCTTTGTTTTTTAACTTTTATGTAAAATTGGATACGGTTGGATTATCTCGTCAAAGGATTTGGTGTTGTTTGCGTGCCTCAGAACTCCAAGTCCTAATTTTTATTAAAGATTTGGGGGTTTTTATTATATTGGTTCAGTTTGATACCCCGGGCTATAGATTGAGTCTTTTCTTTTCTTTTTGTTTTGTTTTGTTTGATGTCAGTTAACATACTACGGTTTTGTAAACTATTTCACTTTCATCTCGAAGAGATTGTCCCTTTCTAAGTTCACTATTTTTTAGTTAACATGTGTATCTGTTGATTTATCATAATATTGTTGTTATTGATTTTCCGGAACTCTTAGGCTCTGTTTCTGATACAAAGATTGATTTCTTGTTACAGGTTTAGTGATATTAATAGCCATCATGAGATTCAAGAAAGGGAATAAAGTGGAGGTACTTAGCCAAAAGGAGGTGCCTTCAGTAGCATGGCGTTGCGCTGAGATTATCTCAGGTAATGGCCACACCTACAGTGTTAAGTATGATCGGTCTCCTGGTAAGGATAGTCAAGCAGTTGTGGAGAGAGTTCCAAGGAAGGATATTAGGCCTTGCCCTCCACCTGTTCAAAGTGTGGAGATTTTGGCAGTTGGTGATGTTGCTGAGGTGTTCGATGTTGGTTTCTGGAAAATGGCTAAGGTGTTGAAGGTTTTGGATGAAAATTATTACTTGACTAGGCTACTTGGATCTTCTGAGGAGTTTAGAGTGCACAAACATAGGATCCGGGTGCGCCAATTTTGGAAAGATGACAAATGGGTTGTGATTGGAAAGGTAAACTTCTATCTGGTTCATCTTGGTTTTCTGTATTTTATCATTTTTTGTGCTAGTTGAATTTATTGATATCATTTTTGTTTTGAAATTTCGTATCTATTAAGGAACATTGAGTGTCTGAATTTTGTTTTCTGTGGAACTTGTCTGTTTGCTTACTAATTTTCTTTTTCATTCCTTTTGACAGGGTTCTGATAATCGTATTAGCTCGCAAGTCCCACAATTGAATGCAAGAATAAGGCTACCAGCTGTGAATGATTGTTTACCTCCTCAGGACATCATCAGTTATCAGGATTCCCATAATGTCTCATCGAGATCATTGAAGAGAGCTTCTCCATTTTGCTCGTTTTATATTGATGGATATTCACGAAAGAGGAGAGCAATTGAGAAGGGGTGTGAGCGCCAACACATTTTTTCTGGGTCCCCATCTTCCTTTCTCAAAAAGGTAGATGCTGTTGCTTACCCGCGAGAAAATCTGGGTGAAAAATACGTGCAGGCTTCCTTTATTAATCGTACAACTGGATGTTTTGAAAAGGAGAGGGAAGAGTTAAATGGTGCTATTTCTCTTTCTGTTGAAAGAAGTTCAGAACTTGATGATTGTGATAGTGATGCATGCTCTGTGGGTAGTTGTAGTGTTATTAGTAGCAATTCAAATAAGTTTTCCAGTCATAATTTAGCAGGTACTAGTCAAGATTCAGATACCCTTTCTAGTGATGCAGATTCTTTTTGTGGAGATGCGCAAGAAAATTTTTCCGTTCCTCTGGAAGAGGTGGCAATGCATGCTTCTGGATCCTTAACTTGGGAACAAGAAGCGTTATTGACAAATCTCCGTATTTCACTGCACATTTCAAACGATGAGCATTTGATTGAAGTAAGGAACTTAATTTCTGCAGGAACAAACCTTCATCTTAGATAACTTTTAATCTTTTGGATATTGAATACTTGGGTTTATTGCCTTTAGTACATTGTAAGAATCAGAGGATAAATAGTTACGATTTGTTGTGCTTATCTTGATTGTTCAATCTGTACTGATTAAACATGAGAAATTTGTACTAAAGAAGTTATGTACTTTATTTGATAGAGAATTGAATATTTCCAGGTTCACCATGCTGCTGTCTTTTCATCTGTTCTTAATAATGTCTCTTCACCAGTTTTTTCTCCATTGTAAGAAGCAGAGGATGTGGTGTTACATTTTTTGAGCTCATCTTAGTTGTCCATGTGCAGTGATCTAAGTATGAAAATTTTGTATTTAGAAAACTATGCACTTTACCTTCTAAAGATGTGATTATTTCCAGGTTCACCATGGTGCTGTCCTTTCAGCTGTTGTAATATATTTTACCATTTTTTTCCTTTTGGAAGGCTTGTTGTTTGTAGCTCTTTTTTGGTGGAAGAATTTTGATTTATTTTCAGTATTTAGTGAGTATTAAACCAGAGAGAACTTGCACATATCCAGGATCTAGTCTCTTGGAGCCCAGTTACACTTGTTTAGCTCTGTATCAGGCAACGACAGGATGAGCATTTGTTGCCATATGGTGTTGCTTAATTTTTAAGGATTTCTCTGTCTGAACTCTAGATTTTTGATAGGGTGAAATGAAAAACCAAGTTTCTAATCTGGGAATAAGGATCATCATATTCTTACCACCGATGCATGTACTGCTAGCTAATCCATAATGATCCATTTTTATGTTCTTTTATTAAGGATTGGTTGATTGAAATGGTATCAATGTGTACGTGGAAGATTTGTTGGTTTTTTTTACTGCATAACACATGGAATATGAAGCATAGTTGTTGAGATGCCATTGTGCTTATGCCTTCTCACTACTATTTCTGTTTAATTCCATCCCACTCTTTTTCAATAAGCATATCTTTGGATTTACATTAAAATAGTTTGGTTTCGTTGTTACCATGTGAATGCATACAGAGTACCATCTCATGAATCTTATTGATGAATCCCTGCACTTTCAGGGCCAAGGTTGGAGCCTTGCTTGCCTTGCCTTGCTTCCAAAGGCTTAGATGATGCTGAGGTTTGTCATCTTGGCGTATACAATGGAACTATTTATTTCGAATTTTCTTCGTATATGACAATATGCCGCCAGAAAATGGTACAATTATTTTCTCTGATTCTTTGATGTGATTCATTTTGGGTCTGCTGGGAATTGTGGACACATCTTCTACCAAAGCAGAACGTGAACTTTTGAAAAGGTTCCCAGTTTGCTTGATGCAGTTTACCTAATTCTTTGCTGATGATATATCTCTTTATTGTCTATTAACTTTGCATTTTTTTTTAGATACTTCTATAATATATTAGGTATTATATTCTTTAGATTATAACTTATGCAAATTAAGTACCATTTCCTTGTATTCTTTTAATTCAGAAAGCCCAGAAAATCGAAGTTTCCGGTATCTTCTTTGATCTTATAGAAAATTGTAGTGTTTATATGATCCGTACCATCTGTTTATTTGAGACTCTTTATCCGTGAGTACCTTGTGCATTACTTGAATTTAAATGGCTTTAAAGTTCATACAAACTATTTGGCATGCATTTGTTTCATTAAGCTACAGTTTGGACTTCAAAACTGGACCATTTATAGTTGTTTGTGTTTATGTTTGATTTATGTACGCCAATGGTATAATGTTCTTTTATTTAAAACAATAATCTGGAAGACTTAATTTAAGTTTCTGATCTTTGAAATTATCACATTTGAAAGTGAAAACAATAAAAGTGGACCGTTGGCTGCGAGAGGTAATTTGCATAACTAGAGAGAAGTCAAAGGAAAAATAAATAAACAAATCATTGTACAAAGAAAATAGAGAAATCTCTAAATGCAATACATTCGAAGTCTTACATTTGTAAGTAGAACCTTTTTTCCCTGTTGATAACATGGAGATATGGTTGTGGAAGGTAAGTTATCCAAACTACTTTGTGATGTCTAACACAGGACGCATGTAAACTACTGTGACTATGAACTTTACAATTGATTTAGGATTTGTGTGAGTGATTAAAACAATTTGTAGTTATCTCATTATATAAGTATCCTGGTGAATTGAATAGAACTAGTAGCACTATGTACTGTTCAAGGAATAAAGCAATTTGTAGTGTTATCTCATCAATGAATTGTTTGGAAATTGTCAAGGAATTTCACATGTTATTAGTTGATGATAAATAGACTGGATAAGGTCAACAGTGCTCCGTGGCAAAAGAGCCTGTCAATTGACAAACACTGGTGTGGCTAAAGTGATTGCAGGCTTTGCAGCTCAGACAAAAGGATCAGTTCAAATTGGCTAAGTATTTGCCCTACATAATATAATTTTTTGACAAGGTATGTACAACAATTCTTTGAATGTAATTCTCAATCCTCAGCGAAGTTAACAAAATAATGTTGTATAAAGCTCAATTTTTAAGGATTGGTTTGTACATACATGCTTTGTGTACCCCATTGGTATTTTGGCAGATGTTTACGGATTGCGTAATGACAGAGGAGGCTGACAAAAGTTTCACTTGGGATACTATTTAATGCAACAATCTACTGTGTAGATTCTTTTAAATGGACTAGATCTTCCTTTTAGCATTAGAAATTTTGGATTCTTCAAGGAATTCTCAAGGAAGGCCAGTTTAACTTTCTCTTGCAGTGATATCCATGAACACGGTATCTTCGACACCAGGTCTTCCTTTTGGAAATTGCTCTGGAATGGTTGTTAGAGTTGAGACTAGAAAAATGCTGTTGCAGATCTTCAGTCCTTTTCTGTCTCATTCTTCTTGTAATATTGAATTGTGAGATATATGAATCAATGTGTTGAGCAATATATATTTTTTATTTGGATAATGAGAGCTTGCAATTGTTGATTGGAAATACGATCATTAATGTTATCCATTTGTTTGAAATTAGTATATACAAAAGTTTCAAATAGCATACAAATTTTTGCGTATTCTATATTGACATAATTTGGACCGTGGATTCATTCCAATCTGCGGTCAGATTTATAACATGGTAACATGCCGTGCTCATTAAATTTTGACATTTTTTTAACGGTTGATTGAATAATTTTCTTTTTTTTATTAAACCAAGACTTTGTATGGCCAAAACGATGAAAGGGGCAAAGAGATAACAAACATAGGTGAGTTTGAATTTCAATTGCCGAATGAAAAAGAAATAACAGACGGTAGTTTTATTCATGTTTTTGACCGAAAAGATTATCAATCATTTTCGAGTCATCTTTAACCCAATTGTCCATGTAACTAACCATTTTGGGGTTTTTCTTCATATAAGAGCATCTCCAGTGGGGTTGGTATAATGAGGTGTATGTTAAATATACATCATTTGTTATCGAAATCACCTGCAATGGGGAGGTGTAATCGATTGTAAGTTTGCATCATAACCGTGAGATGCAAATTTAGATGCATATGTACATCATTTTTTACATCCCTTGCAGGTATGACCTACATGAGAAAAAGTGAGAAAATGTGGACATAAGTGAGCAAAAGCAATTATACATATTTAGATTTGCATTTTCCCTATTAGAGCAAAAATCACATTTACAACCTTTAGAGCATCCACAATGATGCTCTCTATTTCTTAGCTAAAATTTAGCTAAAAATATAAGAAAGCTATTTTAGGAGCTCTCTAAAAAAATTCAACTCTAATCATACTCCTTATTTTGGAGAGTCATAAATGATATAACTCTTTTTTTATTGGTCCATCTCTATTAAACAAATAAAAATAAAATAATTAGCATTAAATAAAGGTTTGAAATACTCATTAAATAAAGTAGCATTAAATTATAGGGAGTCACTAGGAGTCCTTTCTCTCTCCTCAAATTTAGGAGCTCTTAGAGGACTCTATTTTAGGAGGTGGATAGGGAGCGTGATTGGAGTTATATTTTTATCATTCCTCCCTAAAATTTGTCTAAGGAGGTGCTTTAGGGAACCCATTGTGAATGCTCTTAGAGGTGTAAAAAAGATGTAAAAGTAGTTTTACACCCCCAAAAATACACCCCCCTATGAATGCTCTAAATGCTAACAAAAGACCAAAAAACCCTTACAGAATATTATTTAGTTAAACTACGACTAAAACGGCAAAGAGTTTGACTATGTTTTTCACTGTCTAGTCAAAGAGTTTGACTATGTTTTTTACTTTGTCTAAGTCTCTAAAGAGAAGGGGGTGTCATGAGTTTCGAACCTAAGATAACTAATATATAAGCAAATGTTGTTACCACTGAACTAAGCACCCATGGACAAACAAAATGTATGTTTGGGTGCAGTTTTTATTGAAAACCTGGGAATCGTGGGGTCTGCGAGTTTGTAATGACAATTGATGCTTCTTTCTTTCCTTTCTTTCATATCGATGAAATGTTAGTTTTTATTCGCATTAGTCTAGTGTAAGCCAGCACCGTAGAGAATTAGCATTCAATATGACGGGTTAAAATGTAAATCCCACATAAGACCTACTAACAAGAGATGTCTCTCGGCTCTTCACATGTACCCATGGCAACAACCAACCCTAATATCTAAAGGAGAAAACCAGAGAAAGATTGTAAAGTCATAAATTTCTTGACAACCGAAACCCACGTCACCGATCACATCAAACAAGCTAAACAAAACCCAGAAACATAGAAGCGCACTACTCAAACAGATCATCATCGTCATCTGGAAGTGGTTGTGCAGCTGCCTGTGCCAATTCTTGTTCATGCCTGAAAAACACCATAACAGTCGATTGGTAATCAAGAACTCAGAATAATTAGCACAAACAGTGCTAACAATTGCTCATTATGATTCCTTCTTAATATATAGGTTGAACATGAGAAAAAAAAAATATTATTAAGAAATTATCAAAGTGGACCTATCACTTACTTTGCTTGGACAGCCATGTCAATCTGAACTTCTGGAGGAGCAAGAGCAGGTGATTCAACAAAACGCAGCTCAGTCTCTCTGCAGAGACCAATAGACCATTAAATTTCACAGCATGAGAGAGTTAAACAGAGCCAAGAGAACAATGATTTACTGCAATAAAGTGATCAAGAACTTACCCTGCAAGCTTTCTGGCAAGATACAAGAAAGGTTTCTCAAAGTTGTAGTTGCTCTTTGCAGAAATCTCGTAGTACTGGAGATTTTTCTTCCTGTGAAAGGTAACCTGCTTTGCTTTTACCTGCCTATTTTTCACATCCACCTTGTTTCCGCACAGAACAATGGGAATGTTCTCACACACCCTAGAAGACAATAGGAATGCCATGTTAGAAGAAATTCGAGTTAGGAAAACTGGAAAGGGGGAACCGCATTAGGAAATAGAAAAAAGGGTAGAAGACCAACATCAGTGTCGATACAGAATATTAAAAAATATAAAAAAAAATTATATATCTCAAGTAACTCACCTGCAGAGATCACGGTGCCATGTGGGGACATTTTTGTATGTCAAACGAGCAGTAACATCAAACATGATGATTGCACACTGCCCATGAATACTGAAAATCAAGAAAAGAAACAGATCATGAAGTGTCAAACAGGGCAAGAACCGAGATGCAATGATACTGTCCATCAAACAATATCAGCACGAAGAATAGACCCGAGCCTGTTCAAACAGGGCAAAAACGGAGATGCAATGACACAAGGGAATGATACACAAACAAAGGACACAAATCCCTTAATTTTATAGTTTGTACACAAAAAAAAAGACAACAAAACATTCCTAGATAATAAGACCTGGCTTTGTATTCAAGCTTCTTAGTAACTGGCTAACCCAGAACATGCTGTTTTAATTAAAACAAGTTAGAAATAAGAAGAACAAACCCAAAATAAAGTAAGAATCAAAAAATATGATGACTTAGGCATAATCAAACCATTCCCATCATGACATTGCAAATATAATAATCACAGGTACCAACAAAACACACAACACTACAAAAGGCCACAATGTCACAAGGGCACAATAAATATAGATTACAGTAAAACATGAGTGGGGTTCAATTAAAATAGACGTTAATGATAAGAGGACATACTAATAACCATCTCTGAGTCCACCAAACTTCTCCTGACCAGCGGTGTCCCAACAGTAAAACCTGATCTTCCCACAGTTTGTGAAGAAGTCCAACGGATGAACTTCAACACCAATAGTTGCTGCAATTTCAAAAAAAATTAACAATCACGAAAATTAACAACGAAATTTCACACACAGGCACACAGTGATATAAACAGAATTGAACTCCTTACGTTCGTATTTCTTCTCAAACTCTCCAGTGAGATGGCGTTTCACAAACGTGGTCTTGCCTACACCCATCAAAACACTGTTACTATTTTAAAAAGACAAAAAAAAGAACGAACAAAATCAATAGACCAAATACGCTTCAAGAGCAACAATATGTTAGGGTTTCAATAAAATCTTGGATCTGGATGAACAAAACAGCAAAGAAGAAAGTCCTGAATTCCCAGTTTGGGCGCTAAAGACAGAGAGAAGCGAAAAGACGAACCAGTTCCACCGTCGCCAACGATAACAAGTTTGAAGCTAGGGTAATCGACAGTT